AAGTATATAGCTGGATAAATTTTCACAGTGTGACGTGCCCATTTAACAATACCTGAAACAAGAAAATAGCATTACCAATATTGCCATGCGTTAGCTTTGTGTTACTATGATAAGCAACCTTTAAGGAGGATAAATTTATTTTGGCTCATAAGCTTCAGAGGTTTTCGTCCATTCTTGGTTGACCCTGTCACTTTCAGACTTGTGGTGAGGCAGCATTTCGTGGTGGGAACTGCTCACCTTGTGGCTGCTGGGAAGCAAAGAGAGACAGGAAGGGGTTGAGGTCCCAATATCTCCTCAAGGTTATATCCAGATAACCTAACTTTCCTCCCCTAGGCTCCACATCTTAAAAGTGCCATCACTGCACTATAGTACCACAGGCTGGTGCCCAAGCCTTTAACATGTGGGCCTTTAGGGGACACTTATCCAAATTGCAACATTATAGAAGTCCAAATAATCTCTTTATTTACTTCTGACTTCATAGGTTAGTTTTGCTTCTTCTTAAACAGCATGCAAATGAAATTTAATCATACGGGAGTTATACAGCATGAGTGTAGGCAGTTTGTTTTGATGGACAGTTGGTTTCTAGTTTTGATCTGTTTTGAATAGTGCTGCCACCGATGTTATTGTGCATGCCTTTTGCCAAACATGAATTTCTGCTGCTTATGTATCTAGAAATGTAACTGTTGAGTCATATGAGAGTACTAGTCATTCTGCATCCCCACCAAGGTTTGAGGATCACTTTCTCATTAAACTAGGAATAAAATGGCTACTTTTGATCTTTTTCACTATGACCATTCTGAGTGAGCATGTAGCAATATATCATTGTGATTTTGTGTTTTATTGATCACCAGTGGAACTGAGCACCTTTTCATATGTTTATTGGCTGTTTGGATAGCCTCTTTTTATGAAGGCCTGTTTTAAGCCCTTTGCCTATTTTTCAATTGGATCATGTACTTTTTTATAGATTGGTAGATTCTGTCTAACCACACTTTATTATATGTTGGATGAATATATCATCTCTACTCTGTGGCTTTCTTTTTCACTTGGTTAGTAGTTCTTTCAATGAATAATTTTAGTTATTTTAGTATACTACAAATTGTTATTTTCTTCACTATGATTAGTAATTTTCATGTTCTTCTTAAGCAGTCTTTGCCTAACCTAAGGTCATGAAGATAACTTGTTCTCTTCTAAAAGTTTATTGTTTTACCTACCACATTTTTTTAAGAGACAGAGAGAGAGAGAGAGAGAGAGAGAGAACGAACTTCAATATTTATTTTTCAGTTTTCAGCAGACATAACATCTTTGTTTGTATGTGGTGCTGGGGATGGAACCCGGGCCGCACGCATGCCAGGCGAGCGCGCTACCACTTGAGCCACATCCCCAGCCCAACTTACCACATTTTGATCTATAAGCTGCCTAGAGCTGATTTTTTGTATATAATATGCAAAGTTAAATTCTGTATGTAATTTTTATTTATAATATAAAGTCAAGATCCATTTTCTTCTTAAAATCTAGTTTACCCCACATGATTTTTTGAAAAGACTCTCTCTTCCTAATAGCAGAATGAAAATATTTTCAAACTGTATCATACAATGGTTTCCCATTGCACTTAGAATAAAATAATTCACTTTCTCATTAAACTTAGAATATATAGCTACTTCCCTTCCACTATTCTCTCCCCTTCCCTTCCACCATGGTACTCTGGCCTCCTTACCATTCCTCATTCTCCCAAGTTCATTATTGTCTTCAGTTTTCCACATGGGATCATTCTTCATTTCACTCAGCTCTTGACAGAGATGTACTTTCCTTAGAAAGGACCACTTAAATCACCTCATCCACTATTCAAGACTAAATAATACATAAAARTCCTCTGAATGTGTATGATATTAGCGATGTCTCCCCTACTATATTGCGATTCTTTGCTTGTGTATATCTTGTTGCTGCATGATACTTAAAACTCAGTAGAGTACTAAGCATGACACATATGATAACTCATTGTTTCCCTGTTTTGTCTACATTAGTCCCAGATAATTTAGACCCTGGTTTGAATATTTTATAATTTGGATGAGCTATAATGGAACATCAACTTTTTGTGTTTTTTTTTAAAGGTTGCTAAGTGGCATTGTAGTTTAAAATTTATAAACTCATGTTAACTGTTTACATGGAAATAAGTTTAAGCTAAGTCCATGTGAACTTTACATGTTGACTAACAAACTTATAGGGCTTCAGTAGCCTTATAAAGCCAGACCCTGTTTCTCCTCTAATAGTGATGCTAATTGTAGTTTACAAAGTTTCTCAGCATTCTATAGACTTAGTGATTCTCATTGTCTGATTCCTATTATTGGGACTTTTGGGGGATTATATGCATATCATATATAGATCTGTCTTTCATTTGTTTATTTGCTCATTCCTTGCTAAGGCTTTTATTTTCACCATTGATCACATTCATTTTCCTTCTCTTAAGAGCTTTTTAATTTTTTTGATACATGTGTGTTTGTGTAGTTCAGAAACAAACCAATGCAGAATGTATACATCATGTATTTTTTAAATTTTTAAAATTTGTTCTAATTAGTTATACATGACAGTAGAATGCATTTTGACACATCATACATAAATGGAGTTTAACTTCTCATTCTTCTGGTTGTACATGATGTAGAATTACACAGGTCATGTAATCATATATGCACATAGGGTAATAATGTCCTATTCATTCTACTATCATTCCTATCCCTATACCCCCTCCCTCTGTCTAGTCTAAAGTATCTCTAAAATTCTTCCCTAGCCTCGCCCCTCCTTTATTGTGAATTAGCATCTGCATATCAGTAAAAACATTTGGCCTTTGGTTCTTTGGGATTGGCTTATTGAGCTTAGCATGATATTCTCCAGTTCCTACCATTTACCAGCAACTGCCATGATTTCATTCTTCCTTAAGGCTTAGTAATATTCCATTATGTATATATACCATAATTTCTTTATYCATTCATCTGTTGAAGGGCATCTAGGTTGGTTCCACAGTTTAGCTATTGTGAATTGTGTTGCTATAAACATTGATGTTGCTGTGTCACTATAGTATGCTGATTTTAAGTCCTTTGGTTATAAACCAAGGAGTGAAATAGCTGGGTCAAATGGTGGTTCCATTCCAAGTTTTCTGAGGAATCTTCATATTGCTTTTCTTAGTGGTTGCACCAATTTGCAGTCCCACCAGCAATGTATGAGTGTACCGTTTTCCCCACATCCTCACCAGCATTTATTATTGCTTATGTTCTTGATAATTACTCTTCTGACTGGAGTGAGATGGAATCTCAGTGTAGTTTTTTTTTAATTCCCATTTATTTATTTAAAACTTATGCATTTATTAAAATGTTACATGTTCCATGCCCATCCTATGCTGCTCAAGGGGATTAAACATATTACTTGCCAACATTAATAATAATAATAATAATAACAACAACAACAACAACAACAACAACAACCTGTACAAATGGAGAATCAAATCTAAGTGGAATTCAGAACACCAAAAGAACACATCCAACTAAGAGCAGGAAGACATAGAACTTGATAAATTCTATGTTGAACAATTACGCTAAATGAATGTGCTTTCTCTAGAAGATAAGGATTGGGCTAGAATTCAAGATTACTGCATTTTAAATCAAAATTTCAACTTGTTAGGGAAATTCATGGTTATAATTAGAGTATTAGCTTGATTTTGAAACATTTCAGTCTGGCCTGATTCATAACTTTATTTTTTTTTCTTTTTTCTTTTATTCTATTTTTTTTATTAGTTACACATGACAGTACAATGATCTTGACAATTCATACATTTGAATCAAATGGGGTATAGTTTCTTATTTTTCTGATTGTATAGGTTGYAGAATCACATTGGTCATACAGTCACCTATATACATACAGCAATAATAATGTCTATTTTATTCTGCTGCCCTTCTTATCCCCCCTTCCCCTCCCTTCCCCTCCCATCACATCTCTCTACCCAATCTAATCAGTGTAGTTTTGATTGGCATTTCTCTAATTGCTAGAGATATTGAACATTTTTTCACATATTTATTGATCAATTGTATTTCTTCTTCTGAATTTCTTAGAGCTAATATGTGACATTGATTCTTTATTAAATATGAAATGTCATAAAATTTCAGAGTAGAAAAAGACTTTTAACATCACCTTGTCCAGATATAAAAGCTTTCTGGATTGATTGACAGAAATAGGATACAGTTGGTAGATTAAAGTATTGCATCTATGATTAATTTTTTAAACTGACAGTTGTTCTATGGGTAGGCAAGAATAGGTCCTTATTCTTAGGAAAACACAAAACCATTGAGGAATCAAGGTGTCATTATTTATATAACTTACTCCCAAATAGTTCATGAAAAAATGTATATGGTTTTTTTTTGGTCTGTGTGTGCATATAAGTGTTCATGTACAAAGAGAAAGGGGAAAATTATAAGCAAAATAGGGTAAAATTTAACAAAAGTATTTGGATAAGGGGATTTTTTATGTTACTTGTTATTCTTATAAACTGTGTGTGACATTATTTCTAAATAAATAGTTTTTTAAATTATCTCACCCTCTCAGAAACAAAACAAAACAAACAAACAACAACCAAAACCATATGCAGCCCTCAACAGGAAGATCAGGTAGCTTCCCAGTTACTCAGAGGGTAAGAGACAGAGCTGACCCTCAGTGTTGAGCACTCTGTTCTGTTGTGCTGTCTTCCTCTAGTAAATAGTTTCTAAGCTCTTATTTAATCCTGGGCACAGTTATTCTGTTGTGTGGTAACACAGGACACAGCCAGTTTTGCATAGTCGTGATGTAGCTTTGAGTATCTTTAAAAAATAGTTTTGCTGTTACCTGGTCAGCCCTGCAGCCTGCCCCCCCCCCCACTGTTACCAGGACACCTTGTTATTAGATGTGCCTCCCATTGTAATGAGATCTGCCTATGTTTGCATTTTAACAAACAGTGGTTTTGTTCTTCTGTTTCTTGATAGTTACTGCTTCTTGGGATACGTTTCTCATGCTATGGAATTTGAAGCCGCAAGCTAGAGCTTTCAGATATKTGGGTCATAAGGATGTTGTAACCAGTGTGCAGTTTTCTCCCCTTGGAAACCTACTTGCATCTGCCTCAAGGGACAGAACCGTGAGACTTTGGATTCCTGATAAGTAAGAGAAACAAATGCTTGATATACTTTGGATTTAGGAATGTGAAAGAAGGCTGGAACCTGGCTGCTCCCAGTGCACTCTTTGGGAAGGCCTCCACTCCCAGCTACTTGCACTGAATCTGGTCACATACTAGGTGTGCTGCCCTGGTTTCAAAGTCAAACTATTTCATACAAGTGTTTCCTCTTTAGTTCATGTCTTCTTTTTGAAAATTGTTTCTAATATGGAAATATGCATAATATGTTTCAAGTGTTTTGGGGGTGGTGGTGGTTGTTAGCAATCTCTTTGTAAATCTGATGTAAGTTTTCGATTATCTCCCCAGAAAGCTATACATCAGCGTATGTCAAAAGTTCATGTTTTTTGAACTTCCTAATGCCCATTCATGAACCCTTCAGGTCTTGGATCTCTGTGCCAGGACTATTCTTTAATCAGTATCATTTATTTTGGGGCTCCAGAATTTTTTAATTAAAAAACATTTCTAACAAAAGTGTCAATTGTGTTTGCTAAGGTCATATCCTGTTATGCCGAATCTCTCTGTAAGAAACTTTTAAAGCCATAGCTGATTGCCCAGTTATTTTAAACAATTATGAAGCCATGATTTTTTTTTTAAGTTTCAAATTTTTAGGTTTGAAAATTTTCAAAAATACAGGAAAAAATAAATAGCATAACTTTCCCACCATACTCATCAGCCAGCTTCAACAGTTATCTGCCAAGCTTGTTTCATCTCCCCCCACTTTTTCTGAAGTATTTTTAGAACAAATCTCACACATCATATCACTTCCCTCCATAAATATGTTAGAGGATAAGAATTTGAGGACTTTCCTTGACCCTTTTGTGATAGAATTTGATTTGTAGCATGTGACTGAACAGGCCTAGGTACTACCAAATGAAGGAAAGCTCACAGGGCTTTCCCTTGCCAGTGGGCACATTTTTCTGCCACCACCTAAGGGAAACACCATGCTGAGAAATCTGATGGTAGTAAAAAGTATCAAAGAGAAGTGACATGATGAAATGATAATGTGGACGATACTGTAGAAGAGGGAGAGACTGACTTGAAGTCCTAAAGGAGAAGCATGTTCCAAATCCTTAACTTTGGGGATTTAGGACTAGTTTAATTGTTGCTATTTGTTTTTGTTTATTTGTTGTTGTTTTTTTGTTGTTGTTGTTGGTTTTTTTTACTATGTTGGGGATTGAACCCAGGGCCTTGTATACACCTTGCCCTACCACAGAGCTATATCCTCAATGCCTTTTCTTATTCTTCTTTATTTAAATCTCCAGTACAGCATAGCCTCAATTTCCTATTGCTAATTCAAGGAAAACTAAACAAACTGTATATAGATAAATGAGATAAAAGCACACTGAATCATTAGTTTGGAGTACCTAATCTAAGTACAGTTATTATGTTTGTGTAGATGTCTAAATGATGTTGCAGTGGGGTTAGAGTAATGGTGGATCATGGCAACAAGAAGAAAGTTGATGTATCAATGATCAGTTGTCTATATCTGCATAACAATCCCTAAAGCCTAGTAGCTTAATATACAAGAACTATCATTTCTCACAATTTCATTGGTTATTGGGTGGTTCTTCTGCCCCATTTGAAGTATGTTGAGATTACTCACACAGCCTTGTTAACCTGGAAATAGGGTTAGATGGGTCTAAGGCCTCCCTCATGGGCCTCAGGCCTTTGGGCTTGGTGTCTGCTTTTGGCTTGGGTGCCTGGGTTCTCCCCCTCCAGCAGGAGGACCTCAAATTTATTATAAATGACAGGTGAGTTCCTAGAGAATAAAGGGAGAAGCTGCAGACTTTTCAAGGCAGGCCTGAAGCACACAGTGTCACCTCTGCCCTATTTTCTTGCTCCTAGTAAGTCATAACTCCAGCCCAGATTTACAGGGAGGAAAAACAGCTGTGATCACAGCACTTCTATCTTTGTTTCTCATTTGCTTACTGTTGAGACAAGATGCAGTGGTCAGGTCAGCCTGCAGCATAGAGGAGGGCCTTCAGAAAGAGGCCCTTCAGAAGGACGGCCAGCAGATGGGCTGCTAGAGTAGGGGGAGATTTTGATGGTACTAGCTGGCCATCTCATAACTTCTCATCGTTGCAGATGCCAAGTCTTGTCTTTGTTATCTCCAGGATTTATGCTTGAATTCAGGCCAAACTATACTTTCGATTTCTGTTCATGGAAATCTACTTGAGACCTCACTGAACTAGTCTCTGAATGCTCCCTCTTTTTTTTTTTCTTTTTTTAGTTGTAGATGGTCACAATACCTTTATTTTATTTTATTTATTTTTATGTGGTGCTGAGGATTGAGCCCAGAGCCTCACACATGTGAGACAAGCRCTCTACCACTAAGCCACAACCCCAGCCCTCCCTCCTAATTTTTGTTTATACTGATTTCAGTTACTCCTGATGGATTATCAGATGTTGGGTGATAGAGATTAATAATTAAGTCACCTTTGCCTTCTATAGGGCACTAGACGAGCAAGCCAGGTTAAATCTAAGAACCTTTAAGTATTGATTCTTCCCAGTGGAATTCAACAAAAGTATTGAGTTCTTTTCAATGTCCCACATTGTGCTAGGTGCTGGTCTTAAGGAGATAAATAGATCATCATTTTTGTCCTCAAAAAACCTACTGCTTAGTAAACAGAAACAGGTCGATTTTTTAGAAGTCTCCATATAGTGTAGGTATAATAGTTACAGCAGATGGGGAGCAACTGAACCTGTGCAGCTTGGTCAAGGAGGTCTGGGGACAGGGAAAGAGTCTTGCCTGAGAAGGCAGAGGTGTGTTTGAAGCACTGTGACCATTCTGAGTACAAAGTTCAGTGCAATGGTAGGATGCCTTGCCAAAGAGCTCGGTGTTGCATTTTATGATGGAGGGAGCCAGTGACATGTTTACACTGGGATTTATTTGCTTGGAGAGTGGCACTTTTAGCAAGGTAATAAGCACAGTATGTAGGTGACTGGAGGAGGGGATAGAAGATTAGAGCAGAGAGGCCAGTTAAGAGGCTTTTGCAATAATCTAGATGAAGGGTATTGAGGATATATATGTACCTGAAGGCAAGTAGGGCCAGGATATAAAGCAGAGGGTATTCAGAGGATATTTAGGAAGTGGTAATTAACGATAATATTTATTGACTTACTGGGTATAGGAGGAAGTGGGGAGTGGCAGGAGTTGAGGGTGACTTCCAGGCCTCTGGCTTGGAAATAGGCGGATGTTGCTCTAATCAGCCAAAGTAGAAAAATACAGGGTGAAGTTCAGATGATGGGACATCAAGGTGAACATTTGAAAATTCGAGACAGATGTATATGTCTGACTAAATTCTGTTGCCCGACGATCTTTTTCAAACAGTTATGGAAATATTCCCATCATGTATCATTAATACAAATATGATTTTCTAAATGGAAAAATTGTTAAGTCCTGGATATAGTGTCATCTGAAGATGGCTTGAGAATTTAGGAACACTGACACAAAGTATTATTTCCCAAACCTATAATTCCAACACTATGTTCCTTTTAAACTATTTTTATGCTTCTTTTCAAATGCCTTAAAATACTTCTTCCATTTATTATCTTTTTGCCTCCCTAGACCAGGAAAAAAAAAAATCTGAAATTTCAGAGTGTTGATGTAGATTTTTGCTGTTATCCTTTTGTTTTGCTCGTGCATGTAAGATTGCTCCTACAAGGTAAGCAAGGCCTTAGGTATATACTGGGTCTGCAAGTTGTGTTACCTCATCAATATTAGATAATATTTATGAAGAATACAGCACAACATAATTTTCTCATACTTCTGTTATGTTTTTTTACAAGAGTTAATCTGTTTTGTATGTTTCAAAGTCTATACACCGATTAAATATTTATTATAATTAAGTTGAATGAGTTATTAATATTAAATGGTCTCTTTCTAGAAAAGGGAAATCTTCAGAATTTAGAGCTCATACAGCTCCAGTTAGAAGTGTGGACTTTTCATCTGATGGCCAGTTTCTAGTTACAGCTTCTGAAGATAAATCCATCAAAGTATGGAACATGTTCCGCCAGCGCTTCTTATATTCCTTGTACCGACATACACACTGGGTACGCTGTGCCAAGTAAGTACAAAAAGTTTCATAATAAGACTTCTACTCCCCACCTTTTTCTGCTGCAGCCCATGTTTGCTTCTTAACCTTGAGAAAGAGGATTGAAGCTACATTCATTCAGTCACTCAGCAAATATTTACTGTGTGACAGCTATGTGCTGAGACCAATAGTAAACAAAGCACTCAAAATCACGTGCTCTCTGGGGCTGGAGATGTGGCTCAAGTGGTAGCACGCTCGCCTGGCATGCGTGTGGCCCGGGTTCAATCCTCAGTACCACATACAAACAAAGATGTTGTGTCCACCGAAAACTAAAAAATAAATATTAAAAATTCTTTCTCTCTCTCTCTCTCTCTTTAAAAAAAAAATCACTTGCTCTCATGGAACTTCATTCTAGACAGACAATTAAAACATTAGGACAATAGATACTGTATGTCAGATGGTGGTATATAACATAGAGGGAAACAGAGCTGGTATGGAAGTGGATGTGAAGTTTTAAATAGGTGTTCAGTGGTGGCCTCACAAAGCTAGGGGAAGGGAGGGGGTGAAGCCTGAAGAATTTTGTGAAAGGAAGGGGGAACCTGGTGTTTGTTGGAGGAAAATCAAGGAGCTGGGAGCATGGAASTGGAGTAGGAAAGCCCTGCACAAGGACAGCTCTGACATGTACCTTAGTGAGAAGAGATGCCACTGTAGCATATTCCTTTCTCAGACTTCTACTTTCATGGGACGGGATCATCCTGACAGCTACGTGAATAACAGACTGTCAAAAGAAGAGAGATATTGTTAGGGAACTGTTGCAGTACAAGTCCCTACCTGAATCCTTTTGGGGGTAGTGGAGATTATGAGAAGTGGCTGGTTTGTAAATAGTTTGAAGTTACAACCAACAGTACTTGCTATGACATTAATGTGACAGAGGCAAGAAGGACTCCAGGATCTTTGGCAACAGTCTGATGATAAACAAATGCTACTGTAGGCATTATTGTTAGCTGTCTGCTAATGGCCATGAAGCCCTTCCTGTGCATAAAGGTACACTGCCAAAGTATTTCACACACCCATCTCATTTCCTTATCAGAACTTCCTGGGCAGGAAGGGCTCTTTTATTTACCCCACTTTGCAGATGAGGAACGTGAGTTTCAAAGTTAAATTTTGTAATCATCTAGTTGAAAATAATAGAAACCCAGATAAATTCAGTTTCTCTTCCCAAGGTGGTTAATTAATTGGCTAATGTGTTTGATAATCTCAGAGTGGGGAAGGAAAGACTAGAACCAGGGACTTTGTATCCTATCTCTTGGCCTCTCCATATGGAGGCTTCATTCTGTCAATCACACCAGTACTGAGGCCACAGCTAGCTCCAAATCCTCATAGCTTTGTAACTAGAGAAGAAAAGCCCATCCTCTCTGCTTCTGCTAGAAAAGGGCCCTGGTGACTGGGCTCAGGTGGCGTGTTGTGCCCATCCCTCCACCTGGCACTGAGATGCTGAGGTTTCCTCAATTCATCCCCACTGCCTGACTGGGCCAGTTTCCTTGGCCAGAAGCAGTGTCGTACCCACTGTAAACTCTGGGTGTTGGGATAAAGGACAGTCTTCAGAGAAGGGGTGCTTCATAGGCATGGTCACTGGGAGTGTGGGGGGAGGATTTCACCCTTCACCCTCCCTGCTTGTGCCTGCTATGTGAAATAGCATGCCAAGTGTCCCCAGGTAGGAAGCAGTAGAGTGGGAGTCCAAGTCCAGCTGGCTATCTGTTCTTACAGCCTATACTCTCCTCTGTTGTTTTGGTCTCAGTGGGACATTGTTGCTCAGGAGGTGTTGATTATAACTTAGGATAATGAGCTGAGATAGAAAAGCATACTGTTAGTCAGTAGATTTTTTTTTCCCTAAAGATCTCACCCACTTTTTGGCTCTGGCAATCTCAGTGTTATTTTTATATATAACATATAAAAGCATGTGGTTAAGAACATGGATTCTGGACCTCAATATATAAGTCAAAACCCAGGCCTACCACTTATCAGCCATGTGACCTTTGGGGAAATCACCTAACTTCTTAGTGTCTCAGTTTTCTTCCCTTAATTTTTCTTCAATTAGGATGATGATAACAGTAACCTACCACATAGGTTGTTAAGATATTTAAATATAGAGATAGCACCTAGAATAGTGCCTCCCACATGCTGGTCACTACACAACTCTTAGCCATCTCTCTCATCACTATCACTGGACATCTTCCTGAGTTTTTAAAGACATTATGTAACTTGAGTTGATCATGACTTATGTCCCTCACCCAAGTTCTTGGCAATAAGGAAAAACATTGAATATTGACTTAACTAAGCAAACAGAATGTTTCATTTACACTCTAATAATAGGTGCTATTTATCAAGTATATTCCTTCCAGAAAGAATGAAGGTGGTTTAGTTTATGATAACTCTCAGATCTATGTATATATCAGTCATTGGAAGAAATGGGGAAATGAAGCAGCCTCCCTGGAGGAATGTTCTTTGGTAAATAATTTGGTTAAATTTAATGATTAAGGATTTCATCTTTTTGACCACTTTATATATGTGCCCTACAGCATTCTTGAATTCTTTCTTATATGTTTATTATAATCTTTCTTCTTGACTCCTCTTATTGTAGTTAGGACAGGACAGTACAGATGAATGACTAGTTGGCCCAAGTGACCACTCAGGCCCCCAGACTATTTATTCATCTTCCTGTGAGAATTTAACCTTGATGAAATCATCCTAATCCAGGACTTTCTTCTAAAAATCTACAAGACTTAAAGTCCTTTTTTCAGACTGCATCCAGAGGTGAGAAAACTCAGCAAGAACTGAGTCATGCTTAATAAATTTAGCAACTCTGAAACAAACCAGATGCCAGTGTTACCGCTGTTGACCCGTGACGAGTTCTTGCTTCCCCAATGTTGAAGAATAACACCAAAGAAGCACGCCAAGGCAAGGTCAGAGTAGAAATTAGAAGTTTATTAAAGGACAGCAGAAAAGACTTCTCCCGGAGGAAGAAGGGGACCCAAGAGGTGGAATCCAGTTGACGGGCAAATGTGTTCCCCTTTTTATAGGTTTGGTGATGGAATGTAGGTTGGAGGGCCCGAGGGGTGGGACACTGGTGGGCCAAAAGGGCAGGAAGGACTTTTGGGATGGGCTTATCACTTCTCTGGGATGGGCTATCTCCAAATCTGTTGGGTGCTGTTCATTAATACTTCTTTGAGGTGGACTTTGGCCTAGGGCCTTTTCGGGACTTCATTAACATTCCATGAATTGTCCTGTGTTTTCCCTGAGTCATTCCCAGCATGGCCTCCATTTTAGATTTCACTCGATATTAGACCCGATTTACCTAACTACACTGACTACCTAACTTTAAATCTGGCTTCACCAGTTTACTTATTTAATGATAATGGTAACTGCAAGAGGGCCTAGAACTTTTGCATACCTTAATTAGGGCCTTCTTACTTTGCCAACAGAGTCAGATGTAATTAGAGGTTATTTAATGAGGCCTGGAACTATAAAGCAAGAGGAGTTTGTTGAAAAAATCTTGATGGATAGTTTCCTCATGTTCAAAAGTGAGATGGGCCCATCTTTCCCCCACACCTGCTAGGATGATGCATGACTGTTTCTGCTGGTCAGGTACAATCCAGTGGACAGAAGGGAGACCTGCCCACTGACTCTGCCTCCTGCTATTGCTGGACACCTCCTTTCTGTGGATATAGTATCTTCCATGGATTCAGTATCACTGTCATRTGATTCTGGCCACTTAGCTAACCTCTCTAGGCCTTAGTCTGCTCCCTTATAAAATAGGTATGAGGAGGTATCCACCATGTGGCCAGCACAATGGTTTCATTAATGAGGTTCTAGGCATAAAGTTAGTTAGAAGAGATCGAAATAAAACACACAGACTCAGTTACCTTATTTCTATTGCCAGGTCCGAGACGGCTCCCCTCTCTGGTTCCCTCCTCTAACCGCCCAGCAGGGCAGCAAGGATTACTCAGGGCTAGCAGGAGAGAGAGAGTTTGAACACGCCTGGGAGTAGCCTTTTATTGGGGAACAAGAGATTCAGGGGAGAATTCCATCCAATGAAGGTTGAGGGGGGACTGCACTCCAAGGTCAGGGTCAGTGATTGGGACCCTGGGGTCAGTGGTCAGGCACACCCCCACACGGATGGGCTCTCTCATCAGGAAAGGGCCGGGAAAGTTCCGACATAGCCAGAACGCCTCAGACCCTTAACAGGAGCCACCCAAACACGTGTCAGAAATGGCTTCCCACATAGGTACTTTCATCATGTAGTCATTTTGAAGATTAAAGTTAATGAAGAGTCAATTAATGTTAACTATTAGCTGCTCTCATGTTTCAGTTCTTCCTGATAGAGATTTTGTAGTTCCTTGTAGGTGGTATTCAAGTCATTTCACACATTTTCACCTAGTTTTGGGAATTTGCTACTGTCAGTAGCTACTATCACCTGTTGAATGCACTTTATGTATTTGATTGCCAGAGGGTAACTTTATTAGTAAGTAGTTGGATCTGCAATCTCTGCTATTTAATTTGAGTTCATAGTCATTTAAATGTATGTAACTATGATTAGACATAAGTCTACCATCTTACTGTTTTCTATTCCATTTGGTTGTTGTTTCTTTATCTTCCTTTTGTACTGAGTATTTCTTTGTATCCCATTTTATCTCCTCTACTGACTTTTTAGCTTTTTTCTTTGTCCTATTTTTGTGTTCAGTGGTAACCTCTAGAGGTTATAGTATGCTTTCTTATCACAGTCTACTCTTAAATTAATTTTGTGATATTTTATATATAATATTTCAAAAAATAAATTCACCAAAAAATAAGCCTGCCAGCCCCTTGAGCTTGGATTTCCTGGCCTCCAGAGCTGTGAGAAATAAATTTATGTTGTTCATAAGCCCAAGTGGTATTTTGTTATACAGCCCAAATGGACTAAGACTTTGTTCTATTCTCTTCCGCTTTGTATTATCTTTTTTTGTGAGGGCAACAGTCATGTTTACTGTAATGTA